TTTTCCTGTGGTCACACTGAAGTCTCCCACTCCCTTGTCTTATGCTCATTATTACTCATCCTGTCCACTGAAAGTGTAGATCCAAATATAGACAATTTAGAGCACATATATGCCATGATTCTGGCTCATCAGTTGCTTACATTTAAATATGGAACTATGAAGAAGTAATTCAAATCCATCATGAACACACATTCTCTTACATGCCAAAGGCAAGGAGCAAGTACCATGACATTTAATAAAATCTAGTTCAAAATATCATCATTTAAACAAATCATCCTAAGATAAATAAACCATAAATTAAAGCACTCCCCAGTTTCACCTAGAAGAAAAGATCCAGCACTAGAGTGCAGAAATGGTCTTTACTTCAGTGAAGCTCAAATAAAACTGGGAATGTTTCTTTTCTCGACTTTACTCATTTATAAAGTGCCTGTTGCTATAGCAGCTAAATGCTAGTAATAAACATGCATAAACAGAAGTTCTTATCAAAAGTGTATTGTGATGGTTAATGGCTGATTTTATTCCTATTTCTCTATTAAATACACATGCCATGATCTGACACATGTGAAAGCATTGGCCACTGGTATTGCACAGGCCATATAGAGGGATATTTTCATTTTCTTCTTGCCATTCACCTGAATTAATATATATAACCCTGTGGAAGTTTCCACTGTCATTTGCACTTTAATAGAATAAATGTCTGTAGGAATGTTTTGGAAATTTGTTATCTGGATGTATAAAGCACTCAGCTCTTGGATGAAGGACTATGTACACTATCAGTACAGAATGAGTATAGCCTTGGCCTAATTTGGAAGTGGTGTGTTAAGGAATATAAAGCATACACCAATTATCTAGAAGGTCTTCAGGCCAGCAAGAGCTTAGGCAAGCAAAATGTCACAGAAATATGTCCCCTTTCAAAAGCCCTATGACGCCAGTCATCTGAGACTGTACCCAAACAGCTGAGTGGGCAGAAGCTGTTGCAGGCAGGGTGTTCTTTGCCCTCCACCCCTGTGTGCATTAAGCCCCCCTCTGAACTCCTTCCCAGGGCCATCTCCTTCTGCCAGATCCAAACCTGCCTTGCTGCAGTGGTAGAAGCACAACCCTTCACAAAAATGACCTCCTAGGTGAGTTGCTCATCAGCACAGATGACTATTAATAGAAGAGCAAAGTAAAAAATGGTAATGAACAATTCTGGAAAGAAAAGACAACAAGAAATGTCAAAGAACATCATTAAGGCATTCAGGGTGCTGCATATTGGACTGATTCCTTTGGCCATTTTTTTCCATCAAAATGGCATATGGGATATATTTGTTGAATGCAAAGGCCTTGCAGATATCCTACGGCAGCTTTTTCAGGAAGCTTCTGACAAAACAAAAATGGAAAAATGTCCCATCTGTTCAGATGCTAGATGCACAACTGGAATTGAGCACAAGGCTTAAAGGCAATGAAGGCAAGGAAAGGAGTGCAGCAAGACAGCAGAGCTCAGGAGGGTTCAGGGAGTATCCCTAAGTGTCTGACAGCATTTTCTCTGCAAAATAGGTGGTAAAAAGTTTTTTGTGTTTTTCTGACCATGATGAAAACATAACACTCAAAGCAGCCTGGTTTGGCCAGGTTGCTTATGCAGCTGTGGAACACCAGCTTGTGGCAGTCAGTCACTTGTCACCTTCCATCAACACATGTTGTCTTACTCAAGGCTTCCCTTAGCCCTGTGGTGCATCACAGGCTTCTCAGCACTGTCACTTGAGGACTCGGTAGTCAGGCTGAAGCAAGGCCTGAACTCCATGCCTGTACTCTCAGCTGTGCCTCACAGCCCAGAAGAGCATCTTTTTAAGTGTACTACTGCTGGGGTTAAAAGCCCATCTGTTAGTGGCAAAGGGCTCACAGCTGGGCATGGAGTAGGTCTGAAGTGACAACACCAGTATTTGCTCATCAGTGGGGTTGCAAGGCAGCTAGTGGTCTCCTGCTGGGCCAGCTGTCACAGCTGTGTCCAAGAGGGATTCAGCTGCTTAGCAGTGTTGCTGTAACCTTCCCAGGGGACTCTGCTGAGGAAACCTTCCAGAAAAGGTGAGAAGTCTTCTGCTGGCCCCTGGCACCACTGCTCTTGCAGATACTTTCCATGTGACTAATTGCTGAAACCAGCTCAAGCAGGAGAGTGTGTATTGATTTTTACACTGTTATGCATTATTTTGCATTATGTTGTCCCAAGCAGGCTGTACCACAAAGACATGAATCCTCAGCTTATTCTGGAGTTGCATTGAAGAACCAAGAGAGCATGTAACCAGTTATTTTAGGTCCCAGATTAATATATATATATATATCTTACAGACTACAGTGGGTTGATCCTGGCTGGCAGATGAGCCCCCACCCAGCTGCTCACTCACTCATCCCTAGCATGATGGGAGAGAGAATTGGAAAAAAAAAAAAAAAAAAAAAAAAGCTTGTGGGTTGAGATACTAGATGAGAGTTAACAGTTTAATAGGTGAAACAAAGTTGCATGCAGAAGCAAAGAAAAATAAGGGTAAAGCACGTATAAGTGTAAGCATTGCTCAGCAATAACTAAAACATCCCTGTATTATCAACACTATTTTAGTCACAAATCCAAAACATGGCAGCATATGAGCTGCTGTGAAGAATGTTCACTGCATCCCAACCAGACCCAGTACATATTCTCATATATGTTTCAAGCATAAGTCCTTTTGTTTAGTCTCTTTACTGCTTCTTGGGGCTTATTTTTTCAATGCAATAATGGTGTTGATGTTGTTAGTTATGGATTGTTAACTCAGAATTTAGTATAAAATAAGTAATGTTTTTCATAAAAAATGGAGAGCTTTTTTTCTTATGGAGAGCTAACCAGCATGGGGCTGTCATTTGTTGCAATAAATAGCTGAAGACTCATCCACTTAGGGCATTTTCCTTCAGTATTCAGCTGGAATCACAGCCGATAGAAACGCGTGGGTAGGAGGGGTTTTGGTTAGCAAGGGCAATGCCTGAAATAGCATAGTGTTTCATCTGAGAGATGTGGAGTAAGGCACACATCATAAAAATTGGAGACTCATCACTTAATTTGAGCAGATCAACATTGTTTATTTCATGTGGAAGTGTGAGTGAATTAGGTTTGACTCTGATAACTTTGACAGTAGCTTGACAGTAGTTTGACATAGAAATATTTGCTGATTCATCAAAAAACGATGATTTATTCACTCTGAACAGTTCATAGATATACATCAGCAACACATTCCAAGAAGCAGCAGTTTAAAATAACTAAATGCAAAATCCAATCTTACGAGCAGACAATGATGGGTAAAGTTGATAGGTTTTTAATCCTTGTATATACAAAAAGGAGAACCTAATTTATTATTTTTGCCATCTCTCTAGTGACCCCAAATAATTTTAATAAGACTTTGGTATATGCAGTTGCATTCTCAAGAAAGTGAAACTCCTGATGATATGGAGAATCAGTTAGTGCAGGGCTGGAGAACAGTGGTGACAACAGTGTACATCTTCTCTGTACAAGCAGGAAACAATTAGTGGAAGGCACAGAAGATACTTGAAGACCACAGAAGGTAGGAGATGAATTTTTTACTCCAAAGAGCAGAAGTGCTATATGTCATTGCAAAGCCACACCCATCACTGGCCTAGGCCTCTGCCTAATTGTAGAGTGATCAGTACAGAAAAGATGGACATTCAGTCCTTAGGCTTGGGAATACGACATTCAGTCCAGTTCAGTCCTCAAGCAGCTCCCACTAAAAAGGGAGCCAGTGAGTAAGACAGCTGTTCTTAACTTCCATGGGAAGATTTTAGAGCAGATCATCCTGGAAACCATTCCAAAGCAATGAAGGGCAAGAAAGTTTTGGGGAGGAGCCGGTACGGAGGTTCCAAAGGGAAGCCATACCCAACCAACCTGATCTACTTCTGGCATGAGATGGATGTCTCAGCAGGTGAGGGCAGCAGCAAATGTTTGTTTAGCAAGGCCTTCAAGGCACACCCACAGTATCCTGTCATGGTAATTGGTGCCTTAAGGGCTAGATTAGTGGATGCTAAGGTTGGTAGAAAATTGTCTGGAACTCCCAGGGTTGTGAACAGCAGGATAAAGTCTACCTGGAGTATTCATCAGGAGCCAGTGGTGGGTTTGAGACCATCCAATGTCTGTATTAATGATCTGGAAGATGGGATGGAGCAGGATCAAAATTTTTTAGTGGTTGATGTACTGGAGGGTAGTGCTTGTATTCAACAAGACCTGGACAAGCTGAAGAAATGAGCAGGAAGAAACCTTCTGAAGTTAGGAATGGCAAATGCAGAAAACACTAGGGCTGAAGTTCGTTTTCGTTCTGTGATTCTGAGTGAAAGACATACTTAAAACAAATTTTAAAAACTTCCACAAACAAGCAAACAAAAAGGTTTTTTCTGAAAGTTTTAAATTGCAGCATTAGGGCATCAATTTTCACTTGAAATTTTTGTCAACTCTTCATGCGTTGGTTAATTGTGAAATTTGGTTGTTTTATTTAACTGGGTACATGGAGGATTTACAGAGGGCATTAGAGTTGTAGTCCTAGAGTGCCCAGAGTATTTTTTTAATAGGCAGTATGACCCCTTCATCAGACTAGACAACACAAATTTGCCTGTCTGCACTGACTAACAGTTCTCACCACCAAAGCTGGGAGCAGTAATCCTCTCCCATGCCACGACCTTGAAAGTATATTATGTCTCTGAGGGAGACCTGGGAAAATGTCCATGGCCTGAAATAAACTGAAAACCAATGATTTTACCAAATTTTCCTTGTGTAACTGTGACAGTCATCATATTTTAGTGTCAGTTTTTTAGACCTGCTAGCTATAGTATATGCCTTATGTCATCTGATGCAATTGTAGCTGTGTAGTTATAGATGAACCTTTGGGTTGTCTACCATTTATAACAAAAAAATCTAGGGGGAGTTACCTGACTCAAAACAGGGTTAACTTCTAAATCATGTCCTATTCTTTGTTAATAGAGTTGTATGAAATTACCTTGATTTCCTTTTTGGACCATTTTCTGAACTTTGCTGTTCTCATTGCTGATGTAACACTGGCACACTGACACTAAGCTCCTGCAAGAAAAGACATACAAGAAGTAAACTATTAAAGCTTTTTCAACGTGCCATCCTTCCACGTGTCTGATGGGCTGCAACATTTCAAAGCAATAGTTCCCCAGCCAGACTCAGCAAAAGTGGATGTTTGCACTGTTATCGCCAGTTATATTGTCCAGAATTTCGTGTGACTTTGCTGAGGAGGTGCAGAGCTTTTTATTGTACATCTACAAGTCACTGGAAGGGAAGGTGCTGATGCCCAAAAAGGCAGATTAAAACCATTTAGAGACAGAATTTTAAGCCTTTAAACAGCAAGGTATTTATTTGCGACGTCGGGGTAGCTTCCAGCTCAGGCTGGACAAAAAGCTCCGAAGTGGTTCAGTAAAAACAAGCAATTTATACAGTTTCTAACTGCGATTACAACATAATTACATACGTATTCATATTATTGCATCATTAGATTACAATATTCATAGTAGGTGGATTCAGGGCGGAGTTTGAGGTGTGGTCTCTATTTTGAGGAATAAATTAGGGTAGTTCCAGCCTTGCCTTCATCCTGGGGTCACAAATCTACTCTTCTTCCTCGGGTGACCTCGGGGACCTTTCGTACTTTCTATTGTTCCATGTTCTGATCGTCCAGGCTTGAAGAAAACCTTGGCTTCAGGCCTATTTCACCTATTCAAATGTCTACCTTGGCCTATTTGGCTATAATTTATTACCTCTGGGTTCCTTGCTCAATGTATCTTGTTGAACTGGTACGGGACATAACCTTACAGAAACGGGGGGAGGGAGATAAGGAGTTCTTACAGTAAAAGTGTTTCAATTAACTCTTCTGAAGCCTTGTCTTCCTTCAGTGCTCACAGCTTATGAGAAGTACAAGAGATAGTTGGTGGTGAAGAGAAATGGAAAACTCGTGTTGCTCTCATAGCATCGCATGGAGTTGAGCAAATGCTGGGCTGTGCTGGTAACCAGCATTGTGCAGTTGTGTGCAGAGATGCCAGGTCAACCCAAGTGCTACTTTCACTTCTGGACGTTTGTGGTCTTGCTAACTTTGATGTAGACATGGCTAGACCAACCTTGTGACATGAGCACAAGTACTTTTAATGTGTCTCTAAATGAAACAGTTCCCTACACAACATATAGGGTAACTAGGCACATATACACCTATTGTATGGTTTGAGAATACGTTTAAGTACCCTGAAATGCATCTGAGGAAATCACACCGGTGTTAGGAATATCTATTGGTTGCTCCCTGGCTAGCTGTGGAGCTGGCAGGTGCTGGTTGGTGAACTACGGGGATCTGCAAGTGTTGGATGCAGCTGTTGGGGGCAGATTTCCATATTCTGAACCAAAATGTGTCATTGTTATGAGCCTGAGACATCATTGCAGAGCCATCACTAATGCCACAGAGGGTGTCCAGCTGATTCTGGAGAAATGACAGCTCCCAGACTGTTTCAGGGTATGAGAACAATATAACAGAAAGAGAGGCATTAGTGTATCTCGCCTTACCTGGACGTATTTGAATTACACCACAAAACCCTCCTAAACCTCTTCACAGGGTTCTTGGCACCCTACAGACTCAGCCAAGACAAGGAAAGGCAGCATTGCATTTATCTTCTCATGAGGTTTCAAATGCAGAAACTGCCATCCCACTACATTTCAGCACAAGCATGGTCAAGGTTGTCAAAATGAGAACACCAACAAAAAAGTTACTCTTCTTTGTAGGGCTTTCCTAATTAAATTCTGATCCATTCCATTTAAGTGGGTCACCTCAGATATGGGTTTTCACATTGCAGCGTACATTCCTATAATGCCAGCTCTCCTGGAGACTCTTGCAGCTGATGGTTATTGCATTTCTCACTGATTTGAGGCTCTGTGCTTATGATTAACTCTTTCTTTTACTTCTGGGTGGATGACAGACTCCAGCTTACCCCTGAGAGTAAGATAAGCCATTGCTTCACAGCCTGGATAATAGATCCTGTATGGCAGCAAAGCCAGAATGAAGCAAGAAATATGCAGCAGTTTGGCACTTCTAAGTAGTGCAGAACACATTTCCTCAGCTGTGCAGCTACCACGACACCACCAAGCCTTTCTTCTCTCCTTTGAATTAGATTCTTACAGAAGGCTGAGGCAAGCTCTTGTTTTCAGCCCTTACTGCCAAAGCACTTTGTGGCTTGAGGCAAAGGATATGCAGGAAGCTGCTTACAGGCTTCTGCAGGCATTCAGATGGCTGTTGCCAGTCTTCCTCCTCTGGTACACCACTTTTATCATAGGGAGAAAGCTTGTCTGAGAAGAATCCACAAAAAAAAATATCTCTGAGACCCTTAAAGAAATTTCCTAAGAGCCAGAGGTACATGACAGACATTGTTGCCTTCCATTCTAAAGGAAAAGTTCCATTTTTTGTCTTTTTGAGGCCTTTTCTGCCTCTGTTACAATTATATATATATATATATATAAACCCCACAACACACTGTTTCAAAGTAAGTCTCTCCACCACCTCTGCTTTTCTCCCGAAGGAAAATCCCCAAAATAAGGTAAACCCAAAATGTTGATTAGTGCAGTCTGGGAAAACCTTCAGGTAACACGGTGGTGAGTATGACAGAAACTCTGGTATATAGTGAAACATAAAGCTCATGTAACTAAATACTTCATATGCATTGAAAATATTTCATGCAAAGGTTTTTGAATATTTAGGTAGTTTCATAAATAAAAGGTTTTGAACCCTATGTTTTTACTCTTACAGAAACTTTCTTACTTACAGCACATGGGTACATTAAATGGATGTTTATTTTTATATCCAAAATGGTTCACAAAACCGATAATTTTCAAGTACATAAATAGTTTCCTGGATGTTTTTATGCCTTTTTTACCAAGGGGCTTATGCTTTCCTCTGCATTATTCTAGACCATCTTCCTCTGACTGCTTTGCTCCCTTTCATAAGATCAAAGAAATCAAATGCTGCCACATAAAAGCAGACCAATTGTATTTTGGACCTTTGAAAGAAAATCTGAGTAATTGTCGTGGTTCGATTCAGCCTCTGCCTCTCTGGGCAGTCATTGCCTGCATTCTCCACCAAAAATGTCGTGGTTTTGCTTTGGGTTAATTTGCTTTCACACTGTCCACACAATTGCTATAAGTTGAGAGAAGGTTTATGCAGACAAAAGAGACCTGATTTGGGAAAATAATATTGAGATTTATTACTAGCAAGATAAAAACTAAAGAACTATATCTACAACAATTCTAATTAGGTAAAAGTACTATGTATTTACAGAATTACCCCTTACCCTTTTGTATCAGTTCAAGGAGGAGAAGCAGTCTCATTCTCCATTTCCAGGTCTTTATAATAACTTTGCAGCACTCAAAAGTTCTTCTTCTGTTATCTCCAGGATGGCAACTCTGATTCCTCGCAGCTGGAACTCTTTCTCTTTCTTTCTCTCTTCTATGTCGGCCTCAGGGCTGGGCCTACCCCCCTCCTGGGCTAAGACTGGAGGCTGGGGGTTACCCAGGCCCTGAAGGTCTTCTCTTCCATGGGCTGCAAGGGGACACTTGCCTACCGTGGATCTTCACCACAGAGTCACAGGGGATAATGGCTTTTGAGTCCACCCGTGTTTCCTGTGGGGTCCTTTCCCATGGGAGAACAGTCCTTGATAGACCTCTCCAACGTGGGTCCATCTCTCGGACAACAGGTCGTCCATTCCCTGTTGTCCCTCAGGGTCACAAATTCAGCTGCACCAGCAGAGATCGCTCACCGAGATCTTAGGCCTACCTGAGGTGTTCTGCTCCAGCATAGGTCTCTCTCAAGGTCACAAATTCAGCTGCACTAGCATGGATCCTTCACTCAGATCCCAACATCCTACCCGAGACGTTCTGCTCCAGCGTAAGTCTCTCTCAGGGTCACAAATCTCCAGCAGGACTCCACCTCACCTCAGGTCTTCCATAAAGTCTCAGCTTCCTCGTGCATTAACTTACTCCAGTGTAGGCTCCTCTATGAGCTTGCATGGAGGTCTTTTCACCCCAGTAAACTTCCACAGGTAGCAGGGATTTATTTTTCAGTCTTTTCCCTGCTGAAGGGAGAGAGAGAGAAAGAGCGAAAGAGGGGGAAGAAGCAACCCCTCCCTTCAAACTTCTCTCGCCTGCTGTTTCCAGCTCTGGCCTTGAAAGCTATGCTGTCTCTCTCTCTGGAATTCCTTTTGCAGCACGTCTTGTCCAGGTTCTTCTCTAAAGAAAAAAAGCCTACAGCACCCGGTATTCCCAGGAGGTCTCCCATCCAAGTACTAACCAACCCCAACTGTGCTAAGCTTCCGAGATCAGATGAGATCGGGCATTCTCAGGGTGGTATGGCCATAGGCCCTAGGAATGTTCAACTCTGATGGATTTGACTAATTAACCAGCTCACAACAAAACTTATTTTTCAAATATCTTGTTACTGAATATGCACAGGAGTGGAGGGCACAAGCTCTGAAAAGCAAAGAATAATGCAGGTAAAACCACAGGTCAGTCTGTCCCAAAATCCATATTCCCAGAAATGGCATTTGGTTGAGGTGAATATTTGTTACTGCAAGAAGAGTTATTTGTTGCTACAAGAAGAATTATCTTCACTCTATATTTTATGTATAATCACTTCTGTATTATTTTGTTATCTTATTATGCATTTGTGAGCTCCTACACCAGGGTTTTTGCAGAGCTTCAGAGAAGGATGGAACAGTGCTTTAACAAGTTTTGTATCCTGACATCCAGCCCTGAGCTATACAGATTATAAAATCCTGTCAACTGCTTTGGAGTACTGAGCTGGATGGGCTCCAACAAGAAGTGCTGAGAAAGACCTCTGATCCTCACCAGGGAAGGCTCACAGAGGAGATGACTATTCTCTGCTGTTCTCTCACTCATTTCTTCTACTGCTGTCTGCTCATGTATCTTGAGACTAAGGCATTTTTACAATCTAAATGCATTACTTAAAAAAAAAAATTCACCAGGAAGAGAAAAATACCAGATTTCCTCTTGTGTCTTCTTACTTTCTCCATGAGTGGATCAAAAATTCCTTACAGAAGATCCCTCAGAGAGGACAGCCAACAGACTGGCTGTTTTACCCCAACAGACTGTCTTGGGTTATTCCATGTTTCCTCCTGAGTGCTCATCCTTTTATTTACCAGCCATATGGTGCTTCATACGGACCTAGTCTTGCTTAAGATGATCAAACCACGACAGATGGGAAGCTGCACTGGGGCATCTGCAGGGAACACCGTTCCCCTGGAAGGCAGGGGTGGAAGGAGAGGCAGATGCTCCAGGCTGCCTCCTGCAGGGGCCTGCTCAGGCAGCTGCTGGGCATTGCTTTTCTCCACTGCCATTAGGGTTGGTGAGAATTTACGGTCCTTGCTGTGTGAATGTCTGACAAATACTCTACATAGCTATGTCTTAAAAAAAAAAAATCTGAAAATATTTTAGAGTTAATTCCTGGCTGGATACTGTAACCTTCAGTCTTCTTCTCTTATTTTACTCTTTCACAAAGTGTAGAAGCCCTGGCCTGGACAGATGTACAGCTAAGCTGGGATTCCCTCCAACCCCTTTGAAACTGCTGAGGACGTGAAGCAAGATTCATGTTCATGTTAAAGCAATAAGAGGCTGATGTAATCTTTCTCTTGGGACTTAGGGAATCACAGATCCTTGTCCTTGCCCCCTCAAATGGCTCTGTAAATGATTACTGCATTGATGTATGCTTATGGGACAGTGCCTTCTGCTCTGTCTAAGCAACTGGCTCTGTGATATTGGCACCATGGTGGGAGAGGCTCAAAGCTGGTACCCCTCCTCCAGCCTATGCACTGTGCTGAGAGGAGGTCGGTGTGTGTGATACTCCATGTCTGAGAAGAAAGCTGAATCCCAAGTGCTCCTCATCCCTGCTTCTGCTCCTTGCTGAAAAGCAGGTGCTATCCCCAGCTGCTCCAGTGCTGCACCTGTGACATATGGATTATCTGCAGTGTATGAAACACCCTAAAGCCTAAGCATGTCTATGGCATTGGCCAGTAGGGAATATGGGGTTGAAACACTTCATTTGGCAGTCCCAAAGGGAAGGGGCACAGTTGGGTGCTGAGCTGGTGGGATCAGCTCTAGGAGCCTGCAAGGGCCCACCACCTTCCACTGTGTAGGATGCTCTTTTGGGTGCTAAGGGCCAGGGATTAGATATGGGGATGTGAACAGCAATATGGCAACTCTTTGGCTGCTTCAAGAAAAAAAACCTTGTAGCACCTGAAGTATTTAGCTGTTTATGAGTCATGGCTTGCAGTACTGAAACAACGAATCACAGAATCATAAACTAGTTTAGGTTGGAACAGACCTATCAGATCATCAAGTCGAACTGTTAACCCAACACTGCCAAGTTCACTACTAAACCATGTCCCTGAGTGCCACATCTGCACACCTTTTAAGTACCTCCGGGGCAGTTACTTCACCATTTCCTGGGCACCCTGTTTCTTGACAACCCTTTCAGCAAAGAAGTGTTTCTCATTATCCAATATAAACCTCCTCTGCACAACTCGTGGTCATTTCCTCTTGTCCTATTGCTTATGCAATAATACTTATGCTTAAGCTGTATCTTTGTGTGAGTGCAAATAAGCTGCTTTTTCCCCATGATGCTGACATTGCTGAGTCCCTACCTGCAATCCCACCTCACACCATGTACCAGATGCTGGAGATAAATATCATCCTTGAGGGTTTAATCCATTGTTGATGGATTAAAAATGCTGAAGACGTCCAGCATTTTTTCTTCTTCCTTTTTTTTTTAACTTCTTGATGAGTTAACAGAGCACAATCCACTGCTGCTATAATTTGTTGGCTTATGCAATGCAGACTACATTTCCCTACAAACTGTCAAAATGTTTCTTGAGGGAACCTAAAGGAAAGAGCTATATTCAATGGTTATGTATTCGTTCTTCAAAATAAGCAACAGTGGTGTGTTTTATTTTATTGGATTTTAATAACCTTAAATAAATTGCTGCAAAAGCAAACAAATTGTACAAATATTGTTCTTGGCTGATTTATCAGTGAGGGTGTTTATAACTGTACAATTGCATGTAAATCTAAGAAGAATTAGGAAGACAGTCTAGCTGCAGGCTGAGAGCTGGTTTATGGGCACTTCTGAGGTTTAATGGCTGTTGTTATTGAGACATTTAAACCATTTATGAGATAAATGGCTGAGATAAAATCCAGGTATGACTGCTTTTTACAGCTGTGGGGATACTTACATGCCTGGAGAGCAGCCTCTTATAGATATTTTGTGGAGGGTGTTTGTTTTTGAAAAAAACAGGGTATAATCAGTTTCTCTGTCTCTGATCCCATTCGTCCAAAAAGAGGCAACAGAATTTTGGTACCCTGAATAAAACCTGATTCCTAATTCATACTCTCTCTACTGTACTAGCTGACTGAGAGAGCTGGGGATACCATGGAGCATACAATTCATTAAACTTTTCCTCTCACCATACCCGTTGTAATAAAGGTAAAATGCTGCAATGGAATCTTTTTGTGATGTTTGTTTTGAAAGAAATGGTATAACAAGATAACAGGAGAGTTTGCTCTTGCAATCTCTGCCTAAGATCAGAGCTATCTTTGAAGCCTGGCTTGGACTGATGTCACAGCACTGGAACAGGCAACTGCTATTCTGCTCTCTGCTTTCAAATTTATGAGATAAAAACACAGGAAAAAAAATGCCTTAACATGTTTATCAATGAAATTTCTACAGGAGAAAACCCAAGTCCAAAGTTTATGAATCTCTTAGACTTTTGCAAGATGGAATTTGCCCAAGGGTGATATCTGAGACAAGAAGGGTTACAACTGGGGCTAAGGACTGCTCTGTGCTCTTTATTTAAACTATGCTCTACCCCCTGCCCTGGTCTTAATTGTTGATGCTACTCACTTGTGAGCTTGGTCATTGCCGTTAAGTCAGCCATACTGGCTAACTCCCTCCAAAAATTTTCCCATTCATAGTCTCCAAAATAAAAAAAAATGTTTTCCAAGAAAAATGGAGAGGATGAGAAGGCTTGGACTATGAGACCATGAAGTTGTCATTCAGCTTTGTTCCTGGTGCTGAGGGAGAGGCAGGACTAAGGGTTCACCTTTCCCATAGTATATCAAAACACAGTACCTGTTATGGTGGTGTCCACTCCTGGCTGTCCAGCTGGGCATCATAGGAAAGACAAAATGTTTTCTAAGGAACCATTAAAGAGAGACAGCTCTGTTTGAGGAAAATGAAATGACAGCCAAAGATGTGTCTGAAAATCAGCCTGATGCAGGGCTAGTTAGTGAGGTAGATATAGGCTGAAAGAGGAGGTGTAGGGCAGCCATGAAAAAGATGTTCTAAAAGCCCAGAGGTACTCTTCTCCTAAGCATGCAGAAGTTATATTGTGGAGTGATAGCAATTTCTGCACAGCAGATAGATTGTTCCCAGCAATAATGTGCTCTTAATGGGGAAATATCCTCCATCAACCTGAAAGATGGATAGGTGGTTTTGAAGGAGAAAGAAAGACGATGATTAATGGTGATATAGCAAAGCTATAAAAGGTTATTGAGTGGTGCAAAGTTACAGCCTTTGATCTGTGGCACTGAAAAGTACTCTCTAGGGTGCCTCCTCAAGCAATTCACAGCAACATGAATGCTGGTGACTACAGCTGAGAGCAGAGAAACGGTGCTTTCAAGAGTGATTGTCTTTCTTTAATGAGATACATGCCTTTAAGTGGCTTGGACATCTCTGTAAATAGTGTCTGCTTAAATGCAGGCATGGTAACACACGGTAATCAGGAAGAGTTGACACTGCAGTGTTTAAAACGGGATTCAGCTGGGTAGCTGTGCTGCTCTGTCACTCCTCACTTGAGAGGGCATCCTCTTCCCTGTTTGCAGCATACCCAGAAGGTCAGGAGCTTGGGATGGCTCTGTAGTGGTGGTGGTAGAGGTGTTTTGATATTTTATTTTTTTTTCTGTATACTTTCAAAATACTGTTCTAGAAGCCCCGTCTAGCAAGGACAAAGGTTTCTGCAGTAGCTGCAGCTGTACTTGCATTATCTTCCCTATGCTGCATTGTACTGAAGAGCTGTTGGTTAAAAATGGGACTTGCTCATGATCTTTGGCTCTGAAGTTGATTTGATAAGGATCAAGGGGCTTTGGTGATTAAACTAAATAGGTCTGTTATTCAAAGGTAGCATTCCTGAAATAAAGTATGTAAACACTTTCATGCATAACTGATGCATTTCAAATGCCACTCATGCAGGGAGGGAGCATTAGTGTCAGACCCAATTCTTGCCAAGAGGACAATGGGAGGGCTTGTCACAGAGTAGTTGTGCAATAGGATGAATGGGGTTTCAAACTCTTACAAACTCTTTTCTATACTTTTCCCACTTTAAAGAAAGATCTCCTTCAGAGAATAAGTGAACAATAAGAGCTAACACAAACAGCTTCAGGATACAAGAAATTATCTGTTTCAGTGGTTATGAGCATTACAAACTACTCATTTAAATTCAGGCTGGAAATAAAATTAGTGAGTATGCGGTGACTGTTTCTCAAGTTGTTCCAAATGACTATCATTCCTGTGTAATTTCTTTCAGCCCAAGTTTTAAAGCACTTTGCAGACATTAATTGCATGCAACTACCATGTGGCAGGACAAGAGAAGAGATAATGATACAAGAAGTAAGAACAGGATGAAATAGTCTGCATGACTGTTAGAAGACACACTGGCTAGGCTGAGGTTTGTCCCTAATGCTTTGTGTCCTTCTGTAATACAATGCCAACTTCCAGTTATTTTCAGCCAGATTCCTCAAACGATACCCACTTGAATGGCTTTATATATGAGTGAGACAAGTACAGGAAATGGAGCATTCAAAAGACATGTAATTAATAAGAGTTTTCTCTTGAAAAATGTATCAACTCTGGGCCCACTTTCAGACAGTTACTTAGCAAATGTTTGAGTGCTGCTTCTTCTATATGGGAACTGCAGGTCTGAGTAGCCCTAATTGTTCTTCGTTACCCCTGAACCAATTATATAATTATCCTTAAAGAGTCATTTATCTACTGAAGTGTCTTCTGACTTTTAAAAACCCTATATATTAGAGAGTACAGGCCCTGTGTGCAACCTGCTCCAGTCCTGCACTAATTTTTCACTCAAGAAAGCTTTTAGTTATTTAAGGTCCCCTTGCTGTAGCTAGAGCCTATTGAACTAAGTTTTCTATATTGACCACAGGGAAGAACATGTTCACTCATGTGAGTGCTGATATCTCTCCCCTTGGGGCACAGGGTGATGGTAGGTTTCCTTTGATGGCAAAGCTGGCTGAGAGCAGTTCTGCTCTCCTTGCTGTGCAGTAGTCCCCTCTTCTCTTGCTCAACCCAGTCAGTCCCTGCCTGCCTGAGGCTCTGCAGGGAGTTCAGCACAATGACTTCTTCTCTGCTTCTCTTACAGGAGGGTTATCTAAAGATAACCTCAGACCTGGAGACCAGTCCAGCCCTTGAGCTATTGATACTAAACTGCTGTGGAGAGGCCAGTGACTTCATGCCTGACAAAACCACTACAATATTCATATTCTGCCTTCTCCAGCTTGATCAGTCTAACTGCAAACTCTTTGCAACTGTGTAGTCCTTGAAGCACAGAGCTCAAAGCAGTATATTTGTCCCCATAACTCCTCACTGCAGTGTTGACTTTTTCCACATGTTGAAAGACAGCACACCTCTTCCTATTCCCTAGCATGCCCCTAGATGTCTTTGTCTTCCATAAAAGTGCTATAGGTTGACTCACATTCAGTTTGTGTCCTATTGTGTTTAAATTTGTATGTCTTGACTATGTTGTGTTTGCCTTAAGTGGTTTTGAGTATATAGAGTCTAGTTGTTCTTCTCATATTTTTTCTAAAATGCATTTATTTTTGCCTGAAATGAAACCTGTAAACAATATCACACTATAGGTGTCGTGGTTTTGCCCACCAGCCCATCCCTGGGGCTGAGAATGGTTTTGTCCAGGTAATTTCCGGACAAAAAACCAATCAAAAAGTTCAGTGACACCTTTGCTAATTACATCTTTAAGAAAACGGAAGAGAAGGTTGTGTCGCAGTTGAAATTAAGCAGCCATGTAGGAAAGGTGGCGGTGGGCCCTGAAGTGGGCCAAGGCCTCCTCCTCCCCTGGCCCTGGGCCAGGGCGGGGGGGGCAGGTGCGGCACTGAAGCCTCCCTTCTCTCTTGTGAGAGAGTGAAGAAAAAAAAGGTTTAAAAGATGAACTGCTTAGACGAGAAACCGCTGCAGAAGAATTCCAGCCATGAGATAACAGAACTTCCAAGGTCAAAGCTGCAGTCGCAGGAGAGAGAAGAAAAGTTCGAAGGGGGGAGAGCTGCTTTTTTCTCCCTTTCGCTCTCCCTCCCTTCAGCAGGGTAAAGACTGAAAAATAAAACCCTGCCACTTGTAAAAGTTTGTTGGGGTGAAGAGACCCCCCATGCGGCTCACAGAGGAGCTTGTGAATGTACCAGAGATTTGTGACTTTAACAGAAAGAGAAAGCCTTATGCTGGAGCAGAAGCGGCTCGGATGAGGCAGAGTCCTGTTGAAGACTTTGTGACCCTTAGGGGGATGAGGACCTACACTGGAACAGAAAACGGTTCGTGTAGGGATGCTGGGATCCATGTGTGGGATCCATGCTGCTGGTGCTGGAGATTTGTGACCCTGAGGGAAACCTCACGCTGGAGCAAGAGACGGCTCAGGTGAGATGTTGGGATCTCAGTGAGAGATCCATGCTGCTGCTATTAAAGATTTATGACCCTAAGGGGGATGAGGACCTACGCTGGAGCAGAAAATGGCTCAGGTGGGATATTGGGATCCGAGTAAGGGATCCAGACTAGACCCATGCCGAGAAGTCTATCAAGGACTGTTCTCCCATGGGGAGGGACCTCCATAGGGAAACAGGGGTGAACTCTTAAACCATTATCCCCTGTAACCCTGTGGAAGAAGATCCATAGTAAGCAAGTGTCCCTTTGCAAGCCTATGGAAGGAAAGACCCTTCAGGACCTGGGTAACCCCCAGCCTTCGGTTTTAGCCCAGGAGGGGGGTAGGCCCAGCCCTGGAGGCCAACACAGAATGAGAGAGAGATAAAGGAGTTCCAGCTGCGACAAAAGTGCTGCAGAGTTACTGGAGAGAGAGAGAGAGAGAGAGCTGGAATTCCGAAAATGGAAAAGGACTACTTCTCCTCCTTGGACTGATATAAAGGGAGGTGGGGGGAGAAGTATCTTCTGTAAATACATAATACCTTTTACTTAAGTAGAATTGTTGTAAATATAATTCTTTAGTTTTAGCTTGTTAATAATAAATACTCATACTTTTTTCCAATTCAGTCTCTTTTTGTCTGCATAAACCTTCTCTCAACTGATAGTAATTGTATATGGGGGTGTAAAAATAAATTGAGCCAGGGCAAAACCACGACAATAGGGAAAGAAATATATTAAAGAAAGCCTGTTTGATTTTTAACTAAGACTCTTAAATGTTAAGGCCTGTGTAAGCGCTCTACTGGAAATTTGGAATCAGTGTGGGGGTCTTTTTTTCTGGAATAGATTTTTTGGTTGTTTTATTTCACTTTGGTTTTTGGCTTTTTTTAATATGGGAACAGAATCTGACCTGGCTTGTTAAAATGCTTAATTATCAGGCACATAATCCATCATCATTCTCAGAAGTAAGTGCAGTCCAGTCCTGGGGTTGTGAGGAGCTGTGTGGAGACATGTTCAAAGCCTCTGGCCCAAATGTGTGTTCCTCCCCACCCCCTGCCCCTCCAGAGTGAGGGCTGGGAATGATGCTGTGTCACTGGCAGGACGTACTGCTGCCTCAGGCTGGACAGTGCTGTACAAAAATGGTAACAACATTTTTTGATCCAAGGTCAGGGTGCATATTTGGACGCTGGAATCTAGATAATTGTTTTA